GACTAGGGTATAATTATAAAAATAATTTACTTAAAAATAAATTAAGTTTAGGATGAGGATAGCGTAGTCTAAAAAAAAAAAAAATGTTTTAGAAGGTTTTTAGCGATTTTCCCTAAAGAAAAATAAAAAATAAAAGGATATCTAAGAGGTATCACAATTCACAAATAACAATCCGATAAATATTGGCCACATGGTGCAAGAGCTAAGGCTTTATCTTCTTGCTGTTATCCTTTTGCTAAGAAATTTAGGGAGAAAAGAAAAAAAAAGAGAAAGAAAATGGCAGCTGGTGGCCATGAAAGCAGGAGCAGGAGCATAGAAGTTACAGACATAGAAGAAGAATGGCAAAAGGCAATTCATTTTGTAGCCAAAGGCCCATCTGCCTCCCTCCAATTCCTCTCTAAAAAACCCAAATCCCTCCTCTTCGCCTACAAAGCCCAAGTCCTACAGGGCCCATACCCTTCTCTGCAACTGAATGAATCCACTTATGACGATCCCGATCTCTCAGGGAAGGAGGCAGCTTGGAAAACGCTAGGTGACATGCCCAAGCAACAAGCAAAGAGAGAGTTTGTGGCTCTACTCACGATGCTTGTACCCAATTGGAAACAATGGTGTAATGAAAATGGTTCTTCCTTGGTCCAGTCTGGGGAAGGAGAGGCCACCAATATTCTCAGCAACTTCCTTGCTAACGGTGCCCTCTCTCTTAGGGGAAAGCTATGAGTATATCCCCATTTTCTCAGCTATATTACTGCCCAAAAACCCTAATTCCTATACAGTGGGCTCTGCATAATAGAATTAGGGTTCTCAGCTATCTTACTGTCCAAAAACCCTAATTCCCATACAGTGGGCTCTGCATAATAGAATTAGGGTTTGACAGAGGTTTCTTTTAGAGGGCAGGGTAAAATATAGGTTTGGGAAATTTGATGGTGGAATGTTGGGTTGTGTACACTGTGAGGTACTATAGTCTTTGCTTTGCCTAAATAGATTGGGAAATTGCAATTTCCATTTAAAAGTGCACTGTTGCTTTTTAAATTAAATAAATATTATCATATGGATTTTGGATGTTAATATGGATTGATTGATATGCTTATGAGCTTTCTGAAGTATAAAGAAAGACTATGGCCTTTTAGATCTGAAATTAGTGTTCTACTTTTTCCGTGAGCAATCTTAGTTTTCCATATTGTTTGCTCTTTGATTCTGGCTTCATTCTATTTTGCATATAAATGCTCATCTTTTGATTGTTGTGTACTTTTCAAATCGTGATGTTTTGTTTTTAGGGTGAGTCATGATATATCTATTTTTGTTGTATGTTTTGTTTTAGGATGGGTGATTTCAAAAATTAGGAAGGGGATTTTGACTTGATAATTAAAATTAGTTTTGAATAACTTGGGTGATAGATGTAATGTCTTCTTTATAATTATTTAAATTTGTTAAATCTTCCCTCCTTTTAAAAAAACAAGCACTCGGGGACAAGAAGGTAAAGGAAAAATTAAAGACTTCCTTCTCTTTTCTGTTTGTTATATCACGATTACTTTTGAGTGTTGTACATAATAACTCTGTTGGAATCAGATTCCTCATTGATTTTGTTTCTTTTGAGAATTGTTAACTTTGTATATATGGTAAAGTAATTACAAAAAGATTAATCTACGGACAGCATCGCACAAGCTGGGTGCCCCGACTACAAAAGATAAGAAGTATATAGAGTGCCAAAATGGTGGACAGAGGGAAATAGGAAGTAGTAAACTAAGTATAAAATCTTTTACAAGGTAAGCAAAAGACATAAAAACCAAAATACAACCAAAGGTGAGCAGGGTCTATCGACTTGCTTGGAACTTAATGTCTCCGAATAACAGCGAGCTATGGGCTGATGGTCGGTAAAGTGTGGCATCCATAATGGATGTTTGGATTCCGTAGGCTGTGAGTTTGATGTGCATTGTCACCTGATCTTGAGTGGCATCGATCCTTAGCAGCAATAGTTCAGCACAGCAGAGATGTTCGCCATGAGAGACAGCAGAGGGGAGTCGGATAGATTTGAGGCGCAGCAGTCCTCAGCAGCATCGATTCAGTGTTTCAACAGGGGTGAGGTAGGGAAAAGAGAGAGAGAGAGAGAGAGAGAGAGAGAGAGATGGAGAAAGAGCATGGCTTACACACAGATAGATGAAGGGGAGAGGGGAGAGAGATAGGAGTTTGTCATTATATGAGACTGTTGTACATATTGAAGTCTTGAATTGCCTTGTTCTTTGTTAAAAATTTAAAACTTCATTCTCTTTTCTGTTTGTTATATCATGATTACTTAAAAGAGTTTTGTACATAATAACTCTGTTCATTGATATTGTTCCTAAGACTTGAATTGCCTTGTTCTTTGTTCTTATGGATATCTTTTATCTTCCAAATGGGGAATTGTTCTATTTCTCGTGGATGTCTTTTTATCTGCCAAATTAGGAAGTTTTTGGTCTATGTAGGATTACAAACATATGATAAAGTTCAGGGTAACAAAGACAACCGAGAACCTCAGACGTAGTCCTTCCGTGCTTTCCTTTCTTTCTTAACTCTCGAGCTCCAAGTTGTAAAATGTTCATGTTGCCAATTTGCAGAAGCTTCTTGTTCCGGACCATGAATTACTCTTGAATTGCGATGTTTAGGAGAGCCTTGCTTTTGTGTGGGCAAAACCACCCCGTTATGTATACATAATTAATAACAAAATACACTGGCAACTCTGTCCACCTTACTGGTTTTGAATTTGGGGGATTATGTAAAGTTTGAATCTGGTGGCTGTGATCTAGCGTGCTAACCTGGATAGTGGGCAAACATAATAATTCTTGTACTTTATGTATAAAGGGCTTGTGAAATGTTTAGGATATCATTTAACCGTGACTAACTCGAGTGCCATTAATCATTTAGAATGATACGGCACTTTCGAAATCTTACTTGAATTTTCTCTTTTTTTATTCCATTATAAAGTATTAGTATATAATATTTCGTCGTTCCAGAATTAGTACATCATCTAATTTGACATCAAAAAGTCGATAACTAACTAATGAAGGATAGACAATAATCAACTTCCTTCAGGGTATTCTGGTGATTATTTTCTGCTGAGTGTGAGAATGAATTGAAAATCGCATGTGCATCTACATTTTAGGAGGCTTAGTTCTACATGGCGATAGCTGTTTGTATCTTCATCACTGCTTTTTGATAAAGGGAAAGTATAGCATGGATGTCTAATGCATGGTTTATTCCATACGGTCAGGGCACCTACTATCAATTCGTGAGATGGATGTGTATGAAGTTGGTGTTCCAATAATGGACATTCACCAGGAATTATGGTTCATCTCCAGCGTCCATCTTGAGAGCTCATTTTGTACATGGTATACCACTTGTGTATTGTTGACAAGGGGCATCGACCAATTTGCGTCCAATGAATTATGGGTGAGATAGTGCAAGAGCCAGATGTCTTGGATAACCTGTGTTTCATACATTGCATCTGACCAGGGTTATATGCTTGAAGATTAATTGTAGTTACTTATAATGGGCATTTACCCAAAGGTTATTGGTCTCCACTGTCTATACTTTTCTTTCAATTTATCTGCGGTGTTTTGATTGATATCATGAAATTGAAATAAGCATTCTTGTGCTCATGAGAGACCATTTCGAGTTTCGTATGCGCGCCTGCGATTAAAAACTAACCTCTGCAGTGAATAGTAATTTTGAGTCCCTCATCAGCCTTCTAAGCTTCTTTTTAAACTGCCTAATTGAAATTCACATTCTTGATGGTGCATTAATGGTGACAAAATAATCAATCCCTAATGCTTTTCGTGGCATTAGCCTGTCGAAAAGTTTGCTTGGTATCAGCAACCAAGGAATCCTTTCAAAAGGCATTTTACTTGCTCTTGGGCCCTTAAATCTCACGATCCGGTGTCTAGGCTCGTGTGTAGGATAAGGGGCCATAGAAGTTGAGTCCATGCTTCACACCTTCAAGTAACCCACCCATTAATCAGACAGGAGATACATCTAAAATTACCATCACTTTGAAGAACAATAACAGTGGCCATGAATGTGAAGACATCTGTATTACCTTATTTTGTACATAAAGTAATCATAAAACTTGTTCTCTCAACTAGGACTATACGAAGCAGTATTATTCCAGTCTGTATCGTCCTTCCAACTGAAACTATAAAAAGACATGTTTTGTTATGATAGATTTTCCACTTAATATTCAGCTGCTCTTACAGAAATCTAACAGATATATCACGGAAACTCCACTAATGCCTTTTCATACCGAGTCAGGGTGGGTCATTTCCAACCGATTCTTGATTCCTGTTAAATGTGCTTCAGAATGTTTAACGTATATATGTCGACTCTTCTTGTGATCTAACATCAACAATAAGATTTTCTATTGAGAAACTGGAATGAAAGAAGGGAAGCAGCATGACCAATTACCAAATCTGAAAGCCCCCTTTACAAATTCCCCAATTCATTCATCAGCCTCACAGGGCATGAATACCACACACAACTGGGTGGGTCATTCATCATCCATTCATATTCGAGCATTCACCAGAATCTATGATTCGTCTCAATTGGCAGTGTCTTGAAAATGGCTAGTCGATGCTGAAATGTGTAAGTTATAGCATGCTCATCATTATATTTTCCATTACACATGCAAGGAAAACATGTACTTAACTTCTCAATGGTCAGTCCAAAATATCCTTCCAGTGAAGACAAAGTGCTTGCAATCTCTTTCTCTCTCTCTCTCTCTCTGTGCGTGTGTGTATGCACGCGTGCATTCGTGTATGACAGCTTCATTAATCTATAGTATTAGACACTCTTGAAGATCATATTCATTCACAAAAGATCGATCATATGAGAAAGAAAAAAGATAATGCAGTGTATCAGCAACCCCTCTTTTTCTTAGAGCTACATGATCTAGGCTGCACAGTATTATCCTTTTTCCTCTCACTTGATCAACTTATCATTCCTTTGTCTTTCCCATTTCAATGACCGCTTAGATTTTTAGGAGCATGTTTGTGTATGAGACTACTATATTGATTTCCCAAGAGACCAAGAAGCAAAATTATTGGGGAGAGAGAGAGAGAGAGAGAGAGAGAGAGAGAGCGGTGGTCTATATACTAGCAGGTTGATGATCAAGAGCACTCTTGTCAGAGAGTCCTTCAGCTCTCAGAGCATCAACTGCAGATCAAGCCATCAATGGAAGAGTACAAATACAACTCAGCTCCCAAGCAGAGATGTCAAAAATGCTAAAGCAGCAACCAAAATCATAATATTAAGGAAATAATTTGACTTGAGAGGCTTATCTGGGCTGCCCCCAATAGCTTCATATTCTGCTCGGATCTTCTGCTTCATAGCGTCTGACAACTCTCTCTGCAGTCAAATATTATTAGGAGTCACATTTTGTTTATCCCTTTTTTGTTTTCTTTGTTCTTAATATCATTGGCTTTTGTAGTGTTGGAAAAGGAGCTTCACATCACATCTTGTGTTACTAAAAAACACAGCAGAAGAAAATATGGTGCTTGTTTCTATGATTAAGCCTGCAAACCATGAAAGTAGAATGACCAATTATACACACATACACACAGAAAATCTAGTATTAAGGCTCACTCACACGCACAGAAACGGTAGTCTCACTAATTGCAAGAAATATCTAATGGGGGATTGGATGCTTATGTACCTTCTTGCTTCCTTCAGTTGAGTAGCTTGCTGCAACAAATTTCTCAGTTGTAGCAGGTGGCTCTTCATCTACCGAGAAACCCTGCATTGGAAGAGCATGTCAGAGGGATACCCTACATTTTAAGGCGTTTGAATAGAAAGAGAGGAGGCTTACTTTCTAAAGAGACAGGAAAAAGGAGGAGGATTAAAGGGACTTACCTCAGGAGGATCAAATTTTGCACCCAGATTGCTAAGTTTTGCATGAGCTTCAGCATAATCCTTGAAAAAAGCATCCTGGTCTGATGCATATTTCTCCGCATATTCCTGCAGGTTATTATTGAGAACCTCTGTTCAGACTTCACCTTTTGGATGACTTGATATACTATCCTTAAGAATAAAATGTACACAGTCATTTCTAACCTTGAAAGATGGGTCTTCGAATAGAACAGCATCAGTAGGCAAAACTAACAGATCTTCGTCTCTCTTCTCCTTGATATCCTGAAATGACCACAGTGATGCAAAAGATTATAAACCGATTCATAAAGAAAATTTGCATCATTAGAGCTGGTGTTACTTACTTTGAAGTAGGAGTTGTCAAACTTCAACCATTGCACAGTCCATGACTGTCCTCCTGGTGCTCCAGGGCCATCTTTCTGTTAAAGCAAAGAGAATGAAGCACCGTATGTCAACACGCAGAGGAAAATACTTTTTTCTTTCTAATGAACCCTCATCTGGACGTTCTTCCAGGCAAAAGGAAAGAAGAGGTCATCACAAAGAGAATTTAAAATGGCAGAAAATATCAATATGCATTGCACATTCACAAATTGTAAGTCCACAGCTATATATGTCCATTTGAGAAGAGGTCATCACGAAGAGAATTGAAAATAGCAGAAAATATCAAAATGCATTGCATATTCATAAATCGTAAGTCCACAACTATATAAGTCAATTTGTTCATTCTTTTGGGGTAATTTCTCAATATCCATCTTATATGCTTGTGTCTAGATTCATACTTCACATTATTGAACACAGATTCATACTTCACATTATTGAACACAGCATTGGTTACTTCTCAACTTATGCTAACATGGGTATTATGCTAACAACATGAGTGGTATCCTAAATCTGTCTTCAAAAGTTGAAGAGAACATAGATAAGCATGCGGGCATTGAAATTCTGTCCGCAAAGGAGAAGCCAAAATGAGCACGTGGTTAACCTTCTCTATTTTGTAAAAAACAGAGATATACCATACATTCTTGGATATGTGCTTCTCAAGTATAGACACCAAATCCATGTGCTCTCTTCAAATACTTTGCGGATTTCAAAAGACAGGCTACCAATCTGGGAGCCTGGGCTTTTAGATTAACGACTTGCTAGCCTTGACATTACAGCCAGGTGTTATATTTGTTGAAGAAGAGAAGTATACAGAGTACAAATAATAGTCAGCCCAAAGCTTACAAGAACCCCTTAGAGATTCTATACAAAAAGGTAAGCTATAACAAAAATGCTATACAGTCATTGGAAGGAGCCCTAGCTACAAACTTCGAGGAACCATTGCTCAAAAAGGTGCAAAAAACAGTTCACTGATTTTAAAAGACAATATACATCTCAGCATATATTTGTTATAGGAAGATACTAGAAAACGCCTATAGGAGAAAATGAACAGTGATTTCGCCTACCCTCATCACAATCTAAAGTTCATCGCACGGTCATGATTGTCAGGTAGTGTTTCATTTTTCATTTTGTTTCTACAAATCGTAATGACCTGAAATTTTTAGCGTGTATTCATCATATTATGCGAATCTACGAAAAATATCAAAAAAATATTTTACATGAAAACAATCGACCAAAATACCCCCGAAAAGTATCGGGGGTATTTTGGTCAATATTTTTTCACGAATTATTATTTTTATATTTTTATTAGGCGTGCCTCACTAAGATGTACACACGTTCCAAATTTCAGATCATTCCGATTTGTAGACAAAAAATGAAAAATAAAACACTACTGGACAATCGTGACTATACGATGAACTTTAGACGGTGATGAGGGTAGGTGAAATCACTGTTCATTTTCGACTATAGGTGTTGGGAAGACTTTTCCTTTGTTATATAATCGATAATTCAAGTAATAATTCTCTCATTCTTAGTGTGGTACATAGAAGGGTAAAATCTGCTAAATGGAAATGCTAATTAAGGATGGATACTGAAAGCTTTTGGGCAGATTCTTGGTTACTGAGTATGGGATTCCCATGGAGCCCATATACGCAGGGAAGTTGGAGTTAGCTGTATTGTAAAGTTGCTGCATTCAATAATGGAAAACCACAGTCGTGGAACTTGCCAACCCCACCTCAGGAGGACCAATATAACCTTGGAACATCGGCCGAGGTGATCTTCTTCCACATAAAATGTTTGAAGATTACATGGTATGGGAACATTCGACAAACGGCGAACTCCTAGTGATAAGTAAATGGAACCTTTTTCATACCATAAAGAACCTGCTGCACTTAACTAAATCCCAGAACCATGTGATTTGCTAGAATAGGACCCCTTGCTAGACTGCTCACACATTTGTTGCTGCCTTCGCATCTAGTTCTATCCGTTGCTTACAACAAGACGAATGGTGTAGTCCTGTACTGCTCAAATGCCTTATCTCTAGCATTCTGTGGAACTCTACAGGCTATAGCTGTTGGATTTGGTAAAAAGGTCTTCATGCTGATAATGCCAGGGTATCATTGGTTAATAGGAAGAAAAATCGATAGAAATTCCCGGGTCCATATTCTCCATGGTCCCTACTTTTTTGGCTGGAAAGATGTCATAGATACCAAGTATAAACTAACCCAGAGAAAATCTCCTCTAAAACTGTACCTAATATAGGTGATTTCAAAGTGGCATGCAGTTGGAGATCCAAACTTGCAACATGATTAGTTTCAAAAAAAAAACTTGCGACATGATGACCATGGACAACTTACCTGGGCATAGAGTTCAAGCCTAGGGAAAAACTAATAATGGAGCTGAAATACATGCATTGGTTGAAGGGTAAAACTTTCAATGGAGCTAAAGTGTCACTACCTATAGAATGACAAGGATTCATCTCTTAGTGCAAAAGTTAAAAGACAAAGTTAATCCACCATGGAAGTAAAGAGTTCCAATTGAGAATGCTAGATCCAACATGGAAAGAATTGCAACCAACATTTATCATACTTGAATAATACAGAGAACACAGTTTGGTGGTTGATGAACTAGCATAGGGATAAGTGAATCTCAAACCCAGTAACAGTTCAGAGGTCACAGTATACTAAAATATCCTTTCGCTGTTTTTTTTTTTTTTCCCTCCCTGGCAGAGAAAATCCTTACATCATCCTTTCATAACTACTTCGTATGATGCAACCCAAACCCCTGGCCAAGGATAATGTCATGCACATTATTTTAGCTAAATGTTTTGAAAATCTGGGGAGAGACCATCTTCCTATCTGGAATGCCTCAAAGCAGAAGAATTGTGTCCACTAACTAAAATCTTCCAAATGAAACATGGTTCTAAATGTTTCAAGACATTAACTTGACCCATTATATTTAAAAGCTACTTTCAAGCAAGAAGATGCTTAGTTATGAACATAAGAGTTTCACATGAGAAACAGCAAGGATCCACTTACAGTGTACTTTGTTTCTGGCTTGCCCCAACCACTACGTTCTGGTCTAGACCTTCCCAAGGTGTGGGCACCAGATAGTGCAACTATATCCTGGAAGCCATATAAGATGCAGTTTATAATGAATCACAGAGATAACTTAATTATTAGGTATAAATTTTAAAATGTGTAAACAAGGAAAGCACCTTGTCATTGAGGCCCATCCGGTAAAAGACATCACGGAGATGATCAGCAGGTGATGGAGGCCCAGCATCTGGAAATGGTCAATAGAAAATAAAAAAAAATTAAAATAAAATTATTGAAGCATCCATCTCGGATATAGAACACAATATTCTCCATCTCATTTATTTTATGGGAACAGCGAAATCTGGTTTGCTTCTCAGAGATCATTAAATTTAGTGAGAGACTTCATCGCAGCTGACAAGCATATTATAAAATGCATACAATATGGCAAGACACATGAGAATTCCAATAGATTGAAAAACTATGAAAAAAGGCAACATTGAGGATATCTAGTTAGGAACTTAGGATATCATCAGCTTCTATTCTACGTTGCTAGAATTCACTATCAAGGCCACTTTTTTGCATAGACTTATAGCAGGCCCATGCACCTGTAACTAGTTTTGACAAGATGGGGCTCCATCTGAGGGGCACATACTCAACAAGTTGCAATCCGAGAGTTAATCACAAAAGAGAGAGTGAAAATCTTCTGTGGTTGAGTTGCAAGAATGATGAATTTTGGCACTGTTTCCCTAAGTATCCCACAGTATACTACTGAAAATGTTCTCCTTCAACACTCCAACACCCAGTCTTATAACTCTTCAGTTTTTCTGTTAACTAAGCTCACAGTTTCTCTGTATCATTGATTCATTTCTTCTCATCCTGCAGTTTTGATTTTCATGAACTTACAATTCAGTTGCTGAAGAAATTCCCACTCAAAGAAAAAAATATGTTAAGAATTATGAGTCCTGTAACTACAAAACTTATGATGTGGTGCCCCTCCCCTACGCAAAGAGATCATCAATTTAAAAATGGATCAGCAATGTAAGGTGGTGATTACATGGAAGTGACAAGATGTGTAAGGCCTGACTGATTACATGATGCTACAATCACAGAAAATGGGGTGATGAGAATGAACTTTGGCCTAGTGTTAAAGATGGCCATACCATGTACCATAATTGGAGTTGCCAACATCTAGCCACTGCTATTCATCTGGACAAAATATGCATGCAACCAATACATACTGAATGCATATGTAGTATGTGCATATGAAAAGCAGCATATGTACCCAAAATAGCAACTATAGTCTAATTTTGAGGGATATAGAGCTACAGTTCTTACTGTTGGATTTTTAGAAGCTTAATCATTCAATGTATTATGTCGACTTCAAACAATTTTTGTTCCTTTGCTCTCCATTGAGGATAATTTACACACAACTCTGTGGTTTACTTCATCTCGAACACTGGCTACAGTTAATGTTCAAGGAAGGAACTTGCTCTCACATTAATATGGACTAAATCAGCATAAATATGCTTATCATAAATTTTAAGTGACAGCAATTTTGAATTTTTCAAGTTATACCAAACTCAGTTATAGGAGTTTATCATAGGGAAAAGTTGACATGGGGAGTTGACATGGAAAATTCTGAAAGAGACAATTGGACAGGAGAAAATAACACTTCATCTAGAGCTCAAATGAGACAAAACATACATCAGTACCATATCTCTTAGCCATCTAAGAGAGGAAAGGAAAAGAAATCACATAGTTATAGTTGATTAAAAATATGACTATGAAAACTACGCTGCGAGGTTGAAATTTGAGATATTAAACCACACTGCATGATTGAAATTTGAGAGATTAAACTATTCTGTATGATTGAAATTTGATAAGACTAAAAACGAGAAAACTGTGAAGTGTGAACACTTATAATAAAGAAAGTGGATCACTTATTTTGTTGTAAAAGAAGAAACCATAAATATTTTCCTCCATTTTCTTCTTCCAGGAAAGTCATGCAACTTGGCCCTTTCCTATTGTGCACCAGACAGTATGTATGGATTAGATACCTATGAACTGAGCACAATGCAACCATCCAGTACCTTTTAAGGTTAGCATAGGTATAAAGGATTCATAATAGAGATAATTTACTTTCCCACAGGCAACAATTATGGGATCAGGCATAGGTACACTGGTTGATACCACATACTTCACCAAATGGTGATAATCCTTCACATGCCAATGCCTATAGTGATCGTACATGATATGTTGACTATTAAGATGAATATGTTCGAGGATAAATTTAAAAACTACCCATATTAGTCTTAAATTGTAAAAGGCGCAATTTTGAGCAGATTATCATTTAATGCTAAAGACATCTGGTGAAGGCATCCTGCGGTTATCCTCATAAGGACTTGTTGCAACTAAGTCATGAGTAATGACACATAAAAAGTTTATATGAGCAAACAATCAGTCTCGCATACCTGGAAGCCTCCCCTCTTCAGGACACTGATCAGGCCCATTAGCATCTACTCTTCCATACTTCATGGGTATTTTTGGGCCACCTGCCTCCTGAAGGTTTGAAACATTCAACTCAGAAAATTGTGAATTCCCAAGAAGAACTTCACAACAAAAATTCCAAGAAAACAAAAAAAATATCAAGGCAAAATGTTCATGAATTTGAACAACCAGAGACCTCTATAGCTGTCGCACTAGCCAACTGAAACAAATCTGCATAGGTAACACCAGAATACTTCTCCTTGATAGGTTGAAGAAGCTTTAATGCATTGACAAGACCTGAAATAGCACATATATTTTTTGATAATTTTGAATAGAACATAATTGAGAAGCATATTGTTGGAAAAATCACATTGCATAAAAATTCTCATCAAATACCAGCATTTGCTGCATGCTTTAATTCTATCTCAAAACGCAGGCTTCCATTGGCCCCGCCTCTTTGTGGCCATTCCTCAATATTTTTGTTATAGGTGCCAGCATCATGCCAACCCAACCGAACCTACAGTAAGCAACACATGTTAAACAAATGAAGGATTCACTAAGTTGCATGAGTCTTTACCCACGCTTCTAATCCTTATCGCATGTGTCTTTTAAAATTTAAACTATGCTTTCATTTAGTATAAGGCAACAAGAATTCCACACATACTCTACAAATAGATTACAGCACAAAAGGTTTTGTAATCGTGATACATAAATGCCCTTAGTCAATTATCAATAACAAACCAGATTACAAGTTGTACATGAATATTGTAGCTTGAAAGTGGTAATATGTATCTTTAGGAAAGAAGTAAACATTTAAGATCATAATAAACTGTGTAACAAGAATCACATATGATAAATGCATATCAGTTACTGGAAAATATCGTAATTCAATAATGTCATTGCTGCTACACATAATTATCCATTGCCCTTCTTTTCTTGATTATTTATTGATGAAAAAAGTTTATATAAGGGTGAGGCTCTAGACAATCAGAAGTTCACTAGAATAGGTTGTTTCGATGCCCAAAAATCCTCAAATCGATCATCTCAACCTCAAGATGTATGGACATGAGAAAAAAGGGATTTCAAGTCTCAAAAATAGTACATTTTGTAATGCATTTTTAGACAGTCCATTTTCAAAATTTTCAAGTGTTCATAGATTTGCTCAATCTACATTATTTTTAAATCTTTAAATTTTATAATTAGAGATTAAAATTTTTCAGACGATCACAAAGGTTTCAGTACTGAAACAATATCTTTCGATACTATTTGAGGCCTCAGCCTTATACAAACCACACCCATTTTTGAAAATTCATTGCTTTACAGCTTGAGATTTGTAATGGAACACTGTCCATGGATCCACATGCAAGGTAAACATCAAGCATCCCCAAATTTGCAAGCAAACAATTTGCTAAATATACCTGATATAGTAGGCAATTCAGCTTAGTTTTAACAAACACAATTCAGTGAAGGCAGTGTGTGATCGGACATATTGAATAAAACAGAGGAAGAACATCAAAAGCATATCTTAAAGATATATTCTGGTTTTCTATAGTCTATAAGGCTTCGGCACAATAATGGGCACCAGCAGTTGTCACAGTTATGTATTTGACCAGTAACACATCCAGTATTAGCTATTAAAGGATAATGCACAGTGGAGATCACAGCTCTATGCCTCGATAGATATTCGAACCAACACATATAACTAGATTAATTTGTACGAGTATCTGAATAATGGCAAAGGCGACACAAGTCTAGATGTAGCTGCAATTCTGCAAACTGAAAATAGCAATTTGTCAAGCAGTAGGCTCACTATTGGTTGATGTTTTGAGAAGGAGAGGTTCACTTGTCAGATGACTTTCCTGAGTCTTGTGCTCCTATTGTCTTCCTAACGAAACAGTTGGTGGTCCTCTCATTCAGGTCATTCAGGTTAGTTATAAGTTAAGATATACAAATTTTCAAATATACAAGATGGCACCATTTCCGATTTGGCTACAAGGTTTACAACTGAATTCTTGTTATAGATGGAAAAACTGCAAGATAAGACCAGGTCTAGATGTTTTCTCGTTCCTGCAGGCCTATAGCTTCCAGCAAAGGTCATATAGCCATCTAGTGTAGAGATGCATCCACATTCATATAGTTTTTGGGGCCAAGCGTTGCTTTAGAAGAGCCACCTTAGGAAAAATTTCTCCTGTCGTGTGACAACTAAGCAGAAACTAAGGAAACTCTCTTTACAGCATAATAACAACAGAATCTCAGTCAATTGAGGGCATCCATCACAAGATAAATCCTATTAAGTTTCGTAGCCTACCCCTTAAGAATTACGAACAAAATTCATAGCAGACATCAAGCTAAATATCCAATAAAAAAAATTTAAATGGTCGATGAATACCAGAAGGCACAAATTTAAAAAAAAAAAAAAAAAAAAAATTAGAATGCCAGAAGGCACATACCATAATAGGATGACAGAAAGTGGTCTTGAGCAGTTGTCGAATATCTTCCCTGGCCTTCTTCAACTGATCAGGGTCTGAGGCAAAGGATGTAACAGAAACAGGTGATCCTGCATAGGATCGCACAATACTTCCCTTCCTCTGAAGACTCTGAGACTGAAGAAGCAGAAAAGCCAACAATACAACAAAAACTTACCCTCAAAATCGATAGATAGGGAAGAGAGAGAGAAAACAGTCACAACAAAAGCAATCGAAACATAGGAAGTACTCTCGAATTTGAGAGAAGAGATTACAGCCATAACTGAAATTAAAAGACTGAAAATGCAGAGGAGGAGATCAGTGACAAGTTACAGCTACAACTGAACGAAACAGACAAAAAAAACACAGAGAGAGAATCATTGACAAGTTGCAGCTGTAACTGAAAGAAAGCGACTGAAAAAGCATAGAGAGAGACAAGAGGGGGAAAAAGACAAGGAGAATAATCAATAAAAAATTACAGGTATAAATGAAAGAAGAGACTGAAATACAGAGAGAGATAGAATACCAGGGAAACAGGGCGGCGGCGAGAGATTGTGGAGAAAGAGGAGAGAGAATTGAGGGGGAGCTGGTGTGGTTGTTTAAGCTGAAAATGGGGGAGAAGAGCTTTCCCCGTTGGGAGGAGACGAGATGCGAAGAAGGTGAGGGACAGTCTCTCCGCCATTTCTTCTCTCTTTCTAAACTGAGGTTAGAGAAAGAGAACTACCGACCCACTGGTTTTGTTGCTCAAACAAAGTGAAGGCGGCTCTCTTTCTCGGCTTCATGTACACCCCTTACTTCCACTATGGCTATACTTTCACCAATGGATTTTTGCCACGTGCCACCGGAAGCCACGTTGGTCGTGCCCCGCTCCTGTCCGATGTTTGGGCTCCAATAAATTTGCCCTTTTTCTTTAGGAAAACATTTCTGTAGAGCCGAGGCTCTAAACAATCGAAATTAGAGCCACCACTAAACTTAAGTAGGGATGTGTTTGTTTTTCTAAGATTTTTTTTTAAAAAAAATCTTTTTGACACACGATTTCATCCAAATGTTAAGAAAGTAATCTTCCAATAAAAGTTCTGATTGTTTTATTGAAACATAAAAAATTAAGTTTCTAATAAGATAATAATTTAATCTTTCGTAATGTTTTCGTTGATCACTATTCACTATGTATAACATAAATATATAATATAAATATTATTAATATAATATAATATAATATTATAATATATTATATAGAATAATGATTCAATGAGTCCCTCCCACACCCATGTGTGTAAGACCTCAAAAGATCACCATTAAATTTGACAAAGATCTTTAAAAAAGTCAAGTCTTACATCCATGTGATAATTTTTCTAGAGATCTGTGCCAAATTTAATAATGATCATTTAAGATTCTACACACATAGGTGTGAGAGGGTATGATAGGATCATTACTCTATTATATATTATATTATGTTATATATATTTATATTTATATTGTTAATATTTATATATATATGCTATCAAATACAGTACCCAAAACTTTATTAACATTTCAACAGATTATCAAACACAGTATCCAAAACTTATTTAAATATTTCAAAACAAAACATTCAACTTTCCAAAAGATTTAAAAACATTCAACTTCCAAAAGAAGTATTTTAGAAAAGGAAAATTGTTTCATGAGGGCTGGACTGCATGACTACATATACAATCCAAAAAGTGTAAAGTATCCATCTTAAATATGGATGCAAGTAGGTGGCCCATCTAAAAACAATAGAAACTAACGATCCAAATGTTTTCTTACTAGAACTATTATTTTTAGCTTTTAAAAGTTACTTATTTTTTAATATTAATGACCTCCATGTTAGAAATTACATGTCCTTAAAAATTAAGTCTAAAAATCCATTTCAAAAATAGATTTATTTATAAGCCCGCATTTCTACATATGCGGGCTTGGCCACATAGAAACCGGGTCTTTTAGAAAAACAAACACACCCTAGAATATATTGATTTGATGGCCAAATATCCTCAAATTGATCATCTTGACATCTAGATGCATGAATATGAGAAAAAACTAGATTTCAACTTTTGGAAATAGTGCATTTTGTAACGTATTTTTGGACCGTCAATTTTCAAGATTTTCAATTTTTCATAGATATGCTCGATCTATACTATTTTTGAAATTTTGAATTTTATAATTAAAAATAAAAATATATTTTAAGGCTATCACAAAGATTTCTCATATTGAAACCACATTTTTCGACACTATTTGAAGGTATGTTTTACTTTGATTGCTTAGAGCCTCGGTTCTTTGCAAATCGCACCTATGCAATGAGACTGTTTACCTTTGATAAGCAGTCTCACTTACTTACAACAATGTCCTATGAATTTTGATAACTTAGAAGTGTCACAAAGTTCAATTTTTTTTTTTTTGAAGTTTGATTTTGGTCAATAGAATAATTACAGCCACCCAATTTCACATCCATTGGTCAAGATTAATGTGACCACTTCGTACTAAATATAAATAGTCTCATTCTATATTTTCCTTTTTTGGAGCCTATCAATCTTTTGTTTCTCAGAGAGATTGGACGATCACCGTTTGAAGTCTGCTGCACTTGAAAGAGCATTGTTATCCAAGTCCATTAAACTTGGCATTCTACCTTCTCAGTAGTGAAGGCAAAGAAAAAAACCAGAGTTCATACCCATTGACTACACTTTGGCAGCCAGACAATTTTTTTAAAAAAAAATTAGAGAGAGAAACAGTGGTCTCCAATATAATTTCTTTCATTGCAATCCTCAAAACCCAGTATTTTCCCAAAATATATAGAGAGAAAAAAGCGGAGGCGTTCTAGAGTGAGAGAGAGAAAGAGCTCCTCGAACCTAGAGACACAAAGCAAAGACAGAGAGCGATACAAGGAGATTTGAATTTGTCCAAATCCATTCAAGCTCCGAGTAGTTTCTTTAATGGTGGATTATTTGGCTTATAGGCTCTTGAACCGAATTAATTTGTCTTCTATGACCCATGAGAAACAGACATACACAAGCATTCTTCCATCCAGTGCTCATAGGCCTCTGCCATGGCCAGAGAGAAGCAGGGTCTCATTTGAGAGGGAAAAGAGTGGACGAAAGACACAAAAAGAGAAAAGAGTGGGCGAAAGACACAAAAAACTTGTGAACGGAGAAACTGAATTCCACAAAATTCAACTCAAAGTTAAATTATTAAAAATTTATTTAAGAGCTTTTAAAAGATATAGTTTGACCTTATCAAATATGACATACAAACTAATATACTTAAGATTATGATAGATTCTATATTATCCCCAAATGTTAGAAAATTAGGGTATGTTTGACCGAACAAGATTTAGATATTCAAATTTTTAGAAATCTGAATAAAGGCATTGCCTTGCTTTGTGTATTTTAGATTTTATATTATCATGATATGTCTTTTTATGTGCACGTTTGAGTGTATAATTGCATTTCAAAAGTTTTATAGATTTGTAATTGTTTGACTTTATTTCTGACAAAATTATAACTTATTTATTTATTTTTATTTGGCACATATTTGATGATGGCTTTGTTCAATGAAAATGAAACCGACTTGGCAATCAACCGGTACACGAATATAAGGTGAAGGAGATAGGATATGGGGATATCATCAAGGAGGCCTGGAATAAAATGCTCTAGCTCTTGCATGGTTCCTGATCTAGTTTTGTTCTTTAGAGCTTTAAATTAGCTTCAATGGCGGATGTTGGGGTTCTGATGAGGGGATAGTTTCAATGGCGGATGTTAGGGTTCAAATTTGCTTCAATGGTGGATGTTGTTCTCTCTCTCTAAGATGTTGATATCTCTCACAAGATTTTCCCTCTCTAAGACGATATTTGTGCGCAACTCTTTGATGAGAGAGAGTGCGAGAGATTTGGTGGCTGAACTAACTGGTGAGAGAGAGATTGAGGTTTAGAGGATATCTGTTGAGGTAGAGAGAGAGAGAGGGTCTTTGATTAGAGAGAGAGGTTATGAGTTGAATAATGGAAAGCGGGTGTTGGATAGCAGAGGATAGAGAAAAACGATGGTAGGAGTAGGTGAAAGAGGGAGAGAGATGCAAAAGATTTTGACGCTCAAAGTGAATTCCGCAAAATTCAAGTATAACTTGAATTTTTGGGGATTCAAATATTTAGAGGTTATCTTAATATAAGAAGATCTAATTTGATCCTATCAAACAAGAAATATTAACTTGTAAAATTCAAACTATAATAGATTCTATGTTGTCCTAAAATATTAGGATATTAAGGTGCTGCCGAATAGACCTTATGGTGCTACTAAGCAGACCCTATATATATATAGGAAAAGGCTGGGATTAGCCCACTAGCTCATATGAAAAATATGAATCCAACTGTCTAGATTGAATCTGGGCCGGTCTAACGATCACAGATGTTAGATAGTGTTTAAATTGTAATTTTTTTCTACAAATCTAAATCATCTGAAATTTGAAGAGTGTGTTCATAAAAAATAGTTGAATATTCCAAAAATATCAAAAAGCTATTTTACATGAAATAAATTGACAAAAATACCTCCAAAAAGTTTTAAGGGTATTTTGGTCATTTTTATTTTTACAAATAATTTTTTTTATATTTTTATTAGATGCGCCTTGATGAGAAAAACACACGCTTAAACTTTCCAATGATTTGAATTTGTAGAAAAAAACATTAAAATTCAAATACAAAATGAGATCGTGACCGTTAGATCAGCTCAGATTTAATTTGGGCCATTAGACTCATACATATGAGCTAGTGGCTAATCCTATATTTTCTTATATATATATATATAATTTTTTAAACTTTTAGAAGACCAAATCTGAATCCCATGTATAGTTTTTGGATCCAAATCTCATATATAATCTTTAGATCTGGATCCAATCAGATCCCATATGTATATTTTTCGGATCTAAATCCAGATCTGACTAGATCCAAACCCAATTTGAATAATTCTCAACCCCATGATATGTCATCATCAAGTTTGATGCATTTTCACATCGGACACCCACTGAGTAGTATCGACCTTGTGTGACAAATAGGCTAAAATGTTTGGTATTGTAACAAATGGATTTTGATAATTAGGCACAAGGAAACAACTTTTTTAAAGCATGTCCAAAATTTTGCATCTGGAAACACAAAATCTAGATTCTAATGCCACTTGTAGGAGTGAAGTCTTTGTCTGAACTATTCCAAGTAGAATGGGAATAAAGGAATGTAGACCAAATGAATATGTTAACATCCCATTTAACTAAGGGTGTGGTTTGTATAAGGCTGAGGCCTTACGCAATCAAATTAAGGTGCACTTTTAAATAGTGCTGAAATATATTGTTTTAGTATCAAAATTTTTTATAGTGGCATGAAAATTTTATTTCATCTCTAATTATAAAATTTAAAACTAAAAAATAGTATAGATCAAGCAGATCTATAAATATTTGAAAATCTTTAAAATTGACGGTCTAGATAATACATTTTAAGATGCACTATTTTCAAGACTTGAAATTTATTTTTTCTCATATCCATACATCTTGAGGTCGAGATAATTGGATTGAAGGTTTTTCTAGCATCAAAACAACCTTTTCTAATGAATTTTTGAGATGCTTCTAAATTTGATTGTTTAAGCTCTCACTCTTAAATAAATTTTTTCCTTCAACTAAAGAAAAGATAAACGCGTGTGATATGGTGCTTGCTTCTCTACATTCAATAGGATATATGTCCTACCAACCCTCTTCTCCACTGCTCAGGAAT